AAAGGCCTTAGAGGCATGTCTAGACTAACCCTACCACACATAGGGGAATCTTTTATGTATTTGCTTGACAGGGGATTATGCTTTTTCTGCTTAAATACTTTGAGTAAAATAGATGTTAAACATTGTGGGTCATTGTTGGAAATCTCAGGATATTAAATTTTTTCCTGAGTTAAACATCTGTCTTTTTGTAACTCCTACTCACTGATTCTATTTCTACCCTCAGAGTCACAAAATTACTTTCTGTCTTCCACACTGCGGACATCATTCATTCATTCATTCATTTATTTTCTTTTTGAGGCAGAGTCTTGGCTCTGTCACCCAGGCTGGAGTGTAATGGCGAGATCTCAGCTCACTGCCTCCCAGGTTCAAGCCATTCTCCTGTCTCAGCCTCCCAAGTAGCTGGGATTACAGGCGCCTGCCACAACACCTGGCTAATTCTTTGTATTTTTAGTAGAGATGGGGTTTTACCATGTTGGCCAGGCTGGTCTTAAACTCCTGACCTCAGTTGATCCACCCATCTCATTTCCCAAAGTGCTGTGATTACAGGCATGAGCCACCGTGGCTGGCACCATCATTTATTTGAAGCTAACAGCCTGTCTTCCTTCAGTGTTCTCCTTTTCAGAATAAAGAATCCCAGTTTCTAAGGCCTTTCCTCTTACGAAAGCCATTATGAAATGGCTTCCCAGTCTTGTATCATACTGTGCTCTGTAGTACATCCTTTCAGTTTATTAATATCATGCTTAAGATGTGGAATCTGGAAATGAGCACATATCATCAGATGTTCTTTTCGCCTCCAGCTACCGTTTCAGAAAAAGTACATATTTTGAAAAATGTGATGGCAATATTACTTGCTTACTAGAAAGAAAAAACAAAAAACAAAACAGTTTGCCATGACATATGGAATTGGAATAAGAGGAATTTGAAAAAAATGTCAGCTTAATAACTTACAGCTCATCTTATTATTGTTAAGGCTTTTTGAGGTACATTTTTATAACTTTTTGAGGTACATTATTAAAGGAATGGTTTTGCCTCACATGTTATTCAGGGATAATTTTTAATATCTGCATTGAGTTTTACTATTCATATTATAAAATGCAGTTGGTATTTGTATTTATAGGAATTATTTAAATTTATGCTACATTGAATGGATTTTAGTATTTCAGGTAGTTTTTTTTGTTTGTTGATTGGTTTTTTGAGATGGTGTCTTGCTCTGTCGCCAAGTCTGGAGTGCAGTGGCAGGATCATAGCTCACTGAAACCTCTTGTGTCCCAGGTTCAAGCTCTTCTCTGCCTCAGCCTTCTAAGTAGCTGAAATCATAGGATGCACGACCGTACCTGGCTAATATTTTTGTATTTTTAGTAGAGAAGGGGTTTTGCAATGTTGGCTAGGCTGATGTCAAGCTCCTGACCTCAAGTGATCCGCCCACGTGGATCTCCTAAAGTGCTGGGATTACAGGCCTGAGCCACCGTGCCTGGCCTTTTTAAATGAATTTTAATTGATACTGCATTTTTTGTTTCCTTGCACCTTTTTGTAAATGTTATATCCTTTTGTCCTTTCAACTAAGTTATACATTTTCATTTTAACCTGTTACCTTTTTATTTTTTTTGAGACTGTTTCATTCTGTTTCCTAGGCTGGAGTGCAGTGGCGCCATCTTCGCTCACTGTAGCTTCTGCCTCCCAGGTTCAAATGATTCTCATGCCTCAGTCTCCTGAGTAGTTGGGATTACAAGCATGAGACACCACAGCCAGCTAATTTTTGGATTATTAGTAGAGATGAGGTTTTAACCATGTTTGCCAGGCTGGTCTGGAACTCCCGACCTTAGGTGATCCACCTGCCTCAGCCTCCCAAAGTGCTGGGATTACAGGCGTGAGCCACTGCGCCTGGCCTCTGGTATCTTTTTAATGCTGTCTTCCTTACTGGCATACTTTGTTTATCATGCATCCTACAGCAGGACAGCCAGTACAGTACACTGAGAACTGTCAGAAGCTCTCAGAAGCACTAACATTTTTCTGTTTTATATGCTTTCCTTACTCCTCCAGAGTCTCTCTTCCATTACCATTCTATTTTCTGGAGTTCTGTTGTTTTTCTAAGGATAAAGCAAGGTGGGGTTGTTTTAATGTGGGGGTGTTTGCCACAGTTCCAAAGATTGCAAAACTAAAAGATTATGATTTGGGGAAGAACTGTGCTTTAATAATTCTGATCATGGAAATTCAGTTGGCATCTCCTTTCCTAGAGATGCCCGCTGCCCCTCATAATAGAAAGATTATTTTCAGTACCATGTTCCATTGCCTTATTCACTGTCTTTTATTTGCTGCTATATTTTCAGTACCTAGTTTAGTGCCTGGCACATAGTAGGCAACAAATAGAAGATTTTTTGGTGAATGAACAGGTATGTACCATACTATTTCATGGAAGCCAAGTCTTCTTGTGTAATGTTGAGAATTTCAAACACCTTACTAATTTCTTCAGAATTCTAGATCATTTTCAGAGTATTTTTCTTCTTTTTTTGAGACAGGGTCTCACTCTGTCACCCAGGCTTCAGTGAAATGGCACAATCTCAGGTCACTGCAGTCTCGACTCCAAGCTCAAGCCATTCTCCCACCTCTCAGCTCCCTGAGTAGCTGGGACTACAGGCATTACCATCTCACCAAGCTAATTGTATTTTTTATAGAGACGGGGTTTTGCCATGTTGCCTGGACTGGTCTTGAACTACTGGGCTCAAGTGATTCTCCCGCCTTGGCATCTGAAAGTGCTGGGATTACAGGTGTGAGCCACCATGGCTGGCCTAGAGGTATTATTTCTTAAGAGATGTTTCCTTTACCTTGTGGGTAGATTTTTTCATGGTTTCTACATTATATCCCCTTACCTCCACTTTTTGCTCATATCGTTTGAAATAAGATCTATGTAGACTTGACATTTGCTAATAAATAGTGGTTGGTTGCTGTTAACACTAAGGTCTCCATTTGGGTAATGGATATATTTTCTTTCCACATCTACAGCTAAACAGCAGATAAATGTGCACACCCCTCCCTCTTAAATTCCAATTGCTAGCAGGCATTTACCTGGCTCCTCTCCTTTGCTCTTCTACTGTGCCATCTTTTCTTGCCCTATACCCTTATTCTTTGACATTGCTCTGAGGAAGTAGGTACCAAAGTCCAGTTTGTCCTGTCTCTAGCCATCTGTAGCATTTACAGATCTCTACAAAGTTAGAGATCCACTTTGCAGAATTCACTGTGACACCACTGGCTTGTTATTTCTACTCAATTATCTTATAAAAATTACTTTTTGACCAGATGTGGTGTCTCATGCCTGTAATCTCAGCATTTTGGGAGGGCAAGGCAGGCAGATCACTTGAGGTCAGGAGGTTGAGACCAGCCTGGCCAACATGGTGAAACCCTGTCTCTATTAAAAATAGAAAAGTTAGCCTGTCATGGTGGCACCTGTCTGTAATCCCAGCTTCTTGGGAAGCTGAGGTGGCAGAATTGCTTGAACCTGGGTGGCAGAGGTTGCAGTGAGCCAAGATCACACTACTGCACTCCAGCCTGGGTGACACAACGAGACTCTGACTAAAAAAAAAAAAAAAAAAAGTTTTTTTTTAAATGGGTACAGAAATTTGGTGGATAGAGGAATAAGCAAGAATGGCTTTATCATAGAAATAATACTGGATGGTATATGTTACTGCCAGGTTTTCTAGATGGTACACTCCTCAAGTCTTGTTAGTCAGGAGATAGTAGAGAGATTGCCTCTTTTTTTGTTTTGTTTTGTTTTGTTTTTTTGGAGACGGAGTCTCTGTCACCCAGGCTGGAGTGCCGTTGTGTTATCTTGGCTCACTGCAATCTCCACCTCCCAGGTTCAAGTAATTCTCCTGCCTCAGCTTCCCGAGTAGCTGGGATTACAGGTGCCTGACACCATGTCTGTCTAATTTTTGTATTTTTAGTAGGGACAGGCTTTCGCCATGTTGGCCAGGCTGATCTTGAACTCCTGACCTCAGGTGATCTGCCCGCCTCTGCCTCCCAAAGTGCTGGGATTAAAGGCGTGAGCCACTGTGCATGGCCACATATTGCCTTTTTAATACTCTATCACCACCACCCCCTTTTGTAGCCAGTCTCTGTTTCCTGTGGTGTGAGGCCTGGTGTTTGTCAGTACAGTGCCATCAGTATTATATGAGAAAGGGAAGAGTTACTCCACATCCTGGTGTTATGATTTTTAGTAGTGTCCAGTTTTTCATAAACATTTTTCTTTTTTTGTGTGTCTTCATAAGTATTTTAGTGGGGAAGTGGGAAAGGCCACTTTGAATTCTGCTACTGAGATGTAATTTGAAATCTAGAGTTTGGTATAGCTGATTTAACTTCTCTGAACTTAAGCTGATTGGTTGAGTCCCCTCTGAGATTGGTCTCATCTAGTTGAAGTCTTAGCGCCCTGTCCTGAAGTTGCTTTTTCCCCAGTTCTGCTTGTTTTCCCTTTTATTCTTAGCAATAATAAGACTTTTCTTCCCCAATAGTAGGAGGAATCTATTCTATTTTTAGTAGAGACAGACTCAGTTAGAGGGTTTTTAAAGCTTTTGCTAGATCATGTTCCGAGTCTTTGATGATGTAAGAAAAAGCCAGGAGAAATGGGGGTATGAGTAAAGCTGTGCTCGAGCTTGACTGTGATGTGCCAGGGCCTGTATTGATTGAGGGAGGATTGCCAGCTGACAGTAGTAGTAGAAATAGGTCTCTTAGGAATGGGAAATCAGCTCTAGAGGACTCCTAGTTAAGACTTACCAGAGAATCTTTGGGCAGTTGGAAATATTGTACTTTCCCCTAGGGAGATGGAGTGGGAATTGGTTTTTCCTTAGGTCCAATGTAACTTGGTTAGAAATACAATTGAACCTGTTTGTTGTGTCTGTTGTGATATGATAGTCCCATAGGAAGGGTCTGTTATTGTGTGGGAGTTTATTTCAGGCTGTCTCTTGCCTGTATTGTTTCTCTTAACAGCTTTTTAAATTTTCTTTTTCCAGCAATGATGTTGTCCACTGGGCATGTACTGACCAATGTGGCAGGTCTGAGAACGTAGCTGAAGCTGAAAATAGGAAAGCTGGGGGCAAGGAAGAGCCTTGAATCTTGAGGTGGGACGTTGACTCTAAGATGTCCTTGAGCAGTGGAGCCTCCGGAGGGAAAGGAGTGGATGCAAACCCGGTTGAGACATACGACAGTGGGGATGAATGGGACATTGGAGTAGGGAATCTCATCATTGACCTGGACGCCGATCTGGAAAAGGACCAGCAGAAACTGGAAATGTCAGGCTCAAAGGAGGTGGGAATACCGGCTCCCAATGCTGTGGCCACACTACCAGACAACATCAAGTTTGTGACCCCAGTGCCAGGCCCTCAAGGGAAGGAAGGCAAATCAAAATCCAAAAGGAATAAGAGTGGCAAAGACACTAGCAAACCCACTCCAGGGACTTCCCTGTTCACTCCAAGTGAGGGGGCAGCTAGCAAGAAAGAGGTGCAGGGGCGCTCTGGAGATGGTGCCAGTGCTGGAGGCCTGGTTGCTGCTATTGCTCCCAAGGGCTCAGAGAAGGCGGCTAAGGCATCCCGCAGTGTAGCTGGTTCCAAAAAGGAGAAGGAGAACAGCTCATCTAAGAGCAAGAAGGAGAGAAGCGAAGGAGTGGGGACTTGTTCAGAAAAGGATCCTGGGGTCCTCCAGCCAGTTGCCTTGGGAGGACGGGGTGGTCAGTATGATGGAAGTGCAGGGGTGGATACAGGAGCTGTGGAGCCACTTGGGAGTATAGCTATTGAGCCTGGGGCAGCGCTCAATCCTTTGGGAACTAAACCGGAGCCAGAGGAAGGGGAGAATGAGTGTCGCCCGCTAAAGAAAGTCAAGTCTGAAAAGGTAAGAAGTGGTCAGATCTGACTGCCAGTCAGAACTGCCCTGGACTAACTGCCAAATTCTATGTGTATTCTGTGGGAGGCTCATTAGTTTGTGGGTAATGACCAATTACAAGGTCAGAGCAGTTGGTAATGATAATGTGGTTTTGTTCCACATTAGAGGATTCCCTGCAGACTCATTTACAGCAGGCCTGGCATTTTGGAACGGGATATCTGTTATTGGGCGCAGCTACTTTGTAGAATGAATTTTCTGTAGTCTTAGTTGGGACCTTTCCACCTTGTCCTTGCCCAAATCAGACACTTGTTGGTAGAGATTGGCATCAAACCTTTATTTGGTTCCCAGCTTGATGGGGTTTTCATCATCAGACTCATAATAGTTGATAAACAGTATGCCTTTGGTCATAATATAGATTGAGTATGGTTCTTGATGGGATAAATGGTGCTGCTTGGTCTCTGGAAATACAGAGGGTTAAATTTCATGGCATGTCTACCAAGTGTTACATTGCTGGCTACCAAAGAGCAAAGGGGCATATTTTTGGGGCAGGAGGTACTCATTTTACTATGAGGTACTTAGACCTTATGAGTTATTGTTGTGGCTATGAAAGTTTGGCCTAGAAAGAGATTGTTTGGCCATTAAACGTGTAGCTTTGTGCCAGGTAACTCCACAACTATTAGGAATCAAAGTCTCCTGGTGGTTTAATAGCTGCCAACAGTGTAATGATACCTTGCCTTCTGCTTGACTTGGAAGGACAGGTGCCTGCAGCCCCAGGAGGGCTTAGACCTGAGTCCGTCCTCTGGGAAGATGATCTTGGTTCATGCTTCAGGAAATGGAACTTGCAGGGCTGGAGGAGAATAGGTGTGAGGCTAGGGTCAGCTCAGGCTGCTTTAAACTTCAGCCTATAATTTCCTGCAAAGCAGTGGCCTTATGATGAGCTGTTCATTGGTTCTTGATTTTCTGCTCTGTGCTCTGCTCACTGTGTGCTTTCAGCTGATCCCAGCAGATGCAGTATAAATTGATTTCTCTGTAATTACATCAGCTGCAGCAGGGAATACCTATTTCCATATGAAAGTGTTAATAAATAAAGGCTGGATGTGTATGTTTGGGTGATAGTGCCCTCTTAGTGCCTGGATTCCAGTGGTAGCTCCTGCTTTTGTTGGTGTTGGTATTTTGGTCTTTGCCTCTGGCACATCTGTAGCTCTTAGCAACATCTGGGCTTCTCCAGTAATAAGGCTGTGAGTTTCTTCCACTAATAATACAATGTCTCATTCCCTTTCACCAGTGGCAGCTGCCAGAGAGGCTGCCTGTGTTTAGGTGGCAGATGCTATAGTCCACTTCAGCAGAGTCAAGTTCCAGCTGGTTACTGGCTTGGCTCATCCTGTGCTGGCTGTGATTTGCTATTTTCTCACGGGTACAGATGGATAATACTGTTTTAAAGAGACTTAGGAGTATTAGCAGTTGTTGCTTCTGTTCCAGGCCCATTAAACTGTTCCCTACATCTGGCTTCAAGAAACTCTTGCTATATATCCATATTCATAATAATTTTTCTTCCTGTGCTGAAAAGTACTTCTGAGGATGACCATCATTCTCCTGTCTAAATTTTAGAGTACTGGTCTCATGTTGCAACCTTCTAAGCTCACTGGTAGTTTGTGGATGAAAGAATTAATATTGCTTAGCTTTATATTGGACTTAAGTGTAAATGTCCACGATTGTCTCCAACAGAGAAGCAAATGGATCCCATTTTCTCACATACAGGTGCAGGGACTGGCTGAGTAGCTACCCTTCAGATTATAATTGGGCTGAAAGATGCAGTCTCTTCAGCTAAGAATACATCTTGGTGCCCGGGAGTTTTGTCCCTTAATAATGTTGCTTTGCTATATAAGCTTTGCCTCCCAGGGAGACTGTGAGAATGGGACAGTAGAATTAAAAAAAGGGAAAGAGACTGTGCTTCAGTTTTTGAAAAATAGATAAAATTGCTGGCAAGTACTTTTAGAAGGAGACAATTTGCTATACAGTTTCATTTTAACATAAGCAAGAACCTGCTTTCTCAATTCCTTCCCCTATTCCCTCAACCATTTTGGACAGTCTGGTTCAGGGGGTACCTTTCCATATTACCTTTGGCTGTTGAAATAAATAAATAAATGATGTTTGGAAGTTGCTAGGGGATTAAAATATGCTGTGCAGGGGGAGAACATTTCTGGACTGTGAGGAGCAGGAGAGGCAAGAAAGAAAGTTAGGAACCGTGCAGTGAATGGAACAGCTTTTGAAAAACAAGAATCTCTCGGTTTTGGGCATAATAGGTGCTTAGTGAGTATTTGTTGATTAGTTCTATAATTTACAAGCAGTCTTTGAAAATGTCTTTAAAGTTTTCACTCTGAGAAACTGGCTTGCCTGTGGTTTGAGATGTTTCTATGTGGGGACAACCAACCGAACCAAAACAGCAAAACATATGTTTTGATGTAATCTAGGAATACATCCTCTAACCTGGGAGCTGTCATGAAGAGGAAGAACGCATAAAATTTGGGAAGTTTCTTGACTGAGGTCTGTTGTGCAGAGTAGCAATGTTGACTACTAGCTAGGGGAAGATTTGAATATTGAAATTACTGGCCTGTCCTGCTGACTCAAGCCTGTAATCCTAGCACTTTGGGAGGCCTAGGCCAGCGGATTGTTTAAGTTCAGGAGTTTGAGACCAGCCTAGGAAACTACAAAAACTACACAAAATTAGCCGGGCATGGGTGGTGTGCATCTGTAGTCTCAGCTACTGGGGAGGCTGAGGTGGGAGGATAGCTTGAGCTCGAGAGGTAGAGGTTGCAGTGAGTTGAGATGGCACCACTGCACTCTAGCCTGGGCAATAGAGCCAGACCTTGTCTCAAAAAAAAAAAAAAAGGAGAGAAATTATCTATCCCACGTTCTTCTCTCTTCTGAAGGTAGATATCTTAGACTATGGCGGAGGAAATTTCTGTCAGACAAGATGTGGATTTTCCTTCATGGGATCTCAGTTTTGCTCGACCATACCTTCCTCTGACAGGGCTCACTGTGCTGTTTCCCAGAGTTCTAGGAGAGACCAGAGATGGCTCTTAGCAACTGCTGCTGCTCTGAATTGTTATTGAACACTTCTGCCTCATACTTCCTGCCAGCTGAAGAGATGGGGGAGGGAATGTTGAGGAATAAACAAGACAGAGCCTTCTGGCTCCTGCCTGTTCCCCTTGCCTTTGGTTTGATTGATGGGTTGTTAAGTTAGGGATGGAAAGGGAGGTAGGGAGGAGGGCAGGCGCCTGTCTGAGTGTCCTGAGCTTAGTGCTTATGTCGCCACTCTGACAGACAAGAAAAAAGGAATTTACAAACCACAGATGGCAACGATCTATCTGTGCTAACTTTGTCAGGGCTTGTGACCAGGAGTTTAAGGGAAGACTCCTTCTTTTCCCCCAAATCATATAAAATAGCCAAGTAGGCTCTAGTAGTTAAAGAAAGGATCTTGAAGTTTGCAACTAAAAGCTCCCCCTCACATCTCTTTAGCTGCTGCTTTTGATCTTGCCAGGTAGGAACACTGCACTTTGCTTTTCCCGTGTTTGCGTGTCAGCTTCTGCTGCTTTCAGAATGCTGCGTGTATTTACCACTTCCCCCATTAGTTTAGGATACAAAGAAAACCATAAAATGTACTCTTTGCTCTTTCAACTTCTGATCATGTGTGCTATCATATCCTGTGTTCTTAAGAGCATCTTGCTTTTTGTTGATTTTGTATTCCTGCCCTAATTTGTGCTTTCTAGCTCAGCTCTCTTGTATTGGGGTCCCTCATTGCCCAACCAAGGTCAGGTCTCTTTTATTCCTTCTGATCCAAGGCTTCTCTCTTAACTCCTTCTTCCACTAGCTGTTATTTCTCAGCTATTGATGGCATAGCATTCAGCTTTGCTTCCTGAAACCAAAAATGCCCTCAAGAATTTTCCTTCATGGAAAAAATTGAAGTTGATATTTATGTGGGACAGAGTTGTGGTCTGTAACTACAAGCGTAATTCATTTTTTCATTCAGAAACTCTGTTTTCCTTCTATGTGTTGTAATTCAAAGCGGTCCCAGAGAAGATTATCTTGTCCAGTTTCCTCATTTTATTGAAGAAACTAAGACCGGTGAGGTCCTGTGACTTGCCCAGCATCTCACAGGTAGTCACTGGCAAAGCCACATTTCTAGATATCAAATTCTTATGGCATGTTGTTACTCTGGGATTGTTAACAAATGTTTAACTGTCAGGAAGGATTCTCTATTTTCCTACTTTATTTATTATTTGCTTAGTATTACTGTTACTTTTTTTGAGATGGAGACTCACTCTATCACCCAGGCTGGAGTGCAGTGGCACAATCTTGGCTCATTGCAACCTCTGCCTCCCAAGTTCAAGCGATTCTCCTGCCTTAGCCTCCTTAGTAGCTGGGATTACAAGTGCGCATCACCATGCCTGGTGGTGATTTTTTTGTAATTTTAGTGGAGATGGGGTTTCACCATGTTGGCCAGGCTGGTCTCAAACTTCTGACTTCAAGTGATACACCTGCCTTGGCCTCCCAAAGTGCTGAGATTACAGGTATGAGCCACTGCGCCCAGCCTATTTGCTTATTTATTTATTATTATTTTTTGGAGATGGAGTCTTGCTCTGTTGCCCAGATTGGAGTGCAGTGGCATGATCTCAACTCTGCCTCCTGGGTTCAAGCGATTATCCTGCCTCAGCATCCAGAGTAGCTGGGATTACAGGCACGTGCCACCACACCTGGCTAATTTTTGTATTTTTAGACCAACCAGATGACCATGTTGGTCAGGCTGGTCTCCAACTCCTGACCTCATGATCCACCCACCTCAGCCTCCCAGAGTGCTGCGATTACAGGTGTGAGCCACTGCACCCAGCCCTAATTGCTTATTTTTAAGACATGGTATCGCTATGTTGTCTCTGCTGATCCAGTTTAAAGACTACCTTGAAACACTAGATGAAAATGCTTACATACTCCAAAATTGCTTTCACCCCAAA